TTTAAAAACGGCATGATTACAATACGCCCTTTTTAAGTGTTTCTAATTTAATCTTTTTACGCTTACTTTGAAAGATGTAAACTAATCTCATCAAGTTGTTGATTTATTCAGAGTGTATGCAACAAGTGACCATTTAGTCGATACCTGATGATTGAATAGGCGATAGAAATTTTCACTTTCTAAAATCGAAATGAGAAGTGATAAATCAGTGTCAGTTACATCTTTGTTGAAAGATCTTAGACACTCAGTACTTCACATTACTTGTGAGGTAAACAAAAACGTTTCACAATAAAGGGATGTTTTTTTTCTAAGAAATCACTATCAGTATACACTAACGTTTCTATGTAGCACGAGAATTTAGAAGCTGAGAAATATTGACTTCCAGTACATGTCATATTTGCAAACGTTATTCGGTTAAGAAATTTCGGGAAATTATCAGTGTCAACAGCTTGTGATGGTCACCAGATATCTCAACTTGCTAAACAAACTGCCCAGAGATATCCAGAGTTGAAGTACTGAATCAAACTATTTCGGATACTGTAAGTTTATCAAATTTGTTTCCGTAAATAAATGGAATCGTTGCTTAGCGTTGCTATATTACCGCAGTGGTGAATGAGAAATCAGAATTTATCCCCTTTGCAGAATGAAGAAGTATACCTCTTATTTTTTATCTTCCTTCTAGGCGACGCATTGCCAAACTCCCTTCTGTTCTGTCGAGTCATTTTCGCTCAAACAACGAGAATAACAGTGATAATTCCCAGAGACTACTTCATGTAAGAACATGAATATCAACAGATGCGAAGTTGAGAATGGGGGCTGAAAGTGTTGAATGAGCAGAATTTCGTCAGAATGTTCCCAGTGCAACATCACATTATACACACTCATGTCTGTCAATAATTATTATAAGTGAGTTTTTCAGGGACTAGAAATCCCTAACAGTAAACAGTTTCGGTTTATATTGTGGATCATTTTATGAGATGTCCCATGAAGCTTATAAAATGAAATGCATGAGGCATTCACTAAAAGAAGTTTATTTGTTTTTTCAACTACCACATAATATTTGGTTTAAAAGTGGGATGTTATTAGTCTCATAAGGGCAGGTAAACTTTTTTATTCTTTTAAAGTGAGCCAGCTGATGCTAAAATGTGAATTATAGCCCTTTTTGACAAGCGGATGAAGTAAGTGCGTCATTTACGCTAACGGATTTATCAATGATATATCACTTGAAATGTTGCAGGACTATTATCCTTGAAACGCCTTGGAAGTTGAGCACTTTACTTGAGAATAAGAATCATAAGAATTATTCCTCATTGTTTAGTTAAAGTTCATAAAATAAACTAATTGCTGGAAAATTGATTTGGTTTTGTTGGTTGTGGAATCATAGACAACTTCAGTAATCTATATTAGTGATGTACCGTGGCTAGCAGTGGAATCCAGGATGAGCATTTTGTCCCATTCGGGACTCATCAGCTGGAGGAACCTGCTTCCCATTGTATGATGTTGATCCCACCGGGATTCGAACTCGGGAGCGATCGCTTCAAATAAAGACCGATCAATTCGGTCAAATCTACCACGGTATAATACAAGCAGTAATACTAAAACTATACCCGTGGCACAAGAAGTGGCTATTTTGGCTCGGTGGTGTAGTGGATAATGCTCTGGCGTTTGAAGCGATCGCTGCCGACTCCAAACCCTGTGGGAACAACATCACTCACTGGGAGGCAGGTATATCCAGTTGATGAGTCCTAAATAGGACGAAGTGCGCATTTTGGATTCCACTGCTAGCCATTATCTATCATTAATCTAAAGGCATCTGCACAGGAGCCCATATGCTAATAGAGACCGACCCATCAATCAATCAATGATGGTATAATACAAGCAATCATACTAAAGCGTAAATAATCCTCGAATTAGAACGTGAACGATATGTATAAAAGAGAGTAAATCCAATTTCTTATTTTACCATGGTCAAGATTTATTTCCGACACGTATTTTCTCAATGTTTTATTTTATTCTGGTTATCTCTATTTTAAAACTCACTTTCCTGCATATATATGGAATCCAGTAGTCCATATTTTCTACTAATTCCTCGTTAGAAATAGGTGTCACTATATTCCAAATTTTAATTTCAATATCTAAAACTCTTGATCGCAATTATGTACATAATCTTTCCAAAACCTACTTTTATTACACAACCTCTTTCTACTTTAAAAACAATTTACGCTTTCCACTTTGAACATTCTTTCGTGATTACTTGATGTTCACCTGACTTGTTTGTTTCAACAATAAATACTATTCTCATCTGTTTAAAAAGATTTCAAAAGGAAATTTATCTTTACTGAATTAATTTTCTCTAAATTCCTCTTTACAGGCTGCTTCTTTTGGTGTCGCATAGTAGTCTTCTGAGATATATCCTAATAGACAAGATATTTCTAAGACTGATTTTTTTACTTCCACCTGAGAAAGCGTATACGACTTAAAATTTACCAACAAACAATAGGAAGTTATGAAATCCTTAGTACAAACGAACTTAACATCATTCCAACTTTAGGACAAATCCTTGTGTGAGTCCGGTTCAAGGTCTCGATTCGTGTTCTTAGTATATAAGTTCAAAAGGTAACTGAAATGTAATTTTCGACTGATCATAGTTGTAAACAGTTACTTGAAGTGAATAGTCAGTTAGCGACTTCAACGTTTTTAGAATAGAGTTGGATTAGGTAGATATATACAGAAAGAAGGTAAACAAATTTCCGCGACCAGCATAAAAATGTTTTTCTTATGATAGGGAAGTTTTAAATTACTTGTTACAAAGCTTGTTACAAAGCTCTTTAGATTGATAGTGAAAGTTGGGTAATGGAAATAATAATCTGAAAGTTCCCGAAGCTTCCAGGAAGTCTGTCATAAACTTGACTTATTCCATTTACCTCTTCTTCATGATTTCTCTAGATTTAGATGTTTTGTTAGCAAAAATGATCGAGTTTATTGAGGTTTCAGAGAATTTGTTGGTTTCAGTGCAGTTTTTGGGGTGGTGAAGAATATTTTTAGCTTAACAGGATGATTCTGACGGCGTTGCGTTCTGTGAGCTAGATGGTTCAATCGTGAAGCTTTTGTTGTCATTCTAAGCAACATCATCAGTACAAACTTCAGAAAGAAGATTGTGTTGATGATATTGTCTAGAATGACAATGAAAACTTCACGATTGGACCATCTTGCTCACAAAGCACAACATCATCAAAAGCTTTCAAGGTAGTATGCATCATTATCATTGAAGTTTGCTCCCTGGCATGGTCATGGGTGCGCACCACTGAGGAGTCCCATACTAAGACAAATCTACTATCCAGTGCTCCCAAGTTTATGACGGTTCTCCAACTGACATCAGTTCATAATGAATATCACCTTTAAGTACTAACTATTTGTAGCTAAATGTGATGACTGAGGTTGAAGAAAGCCTCCTAACATCCATGTATTCGAAGTAACACTAATGTCTGAGGTAAAAGGAGCAAACGCTAGACAGGTTACATTTTTACCGACACTACCAAGTAGTTTATTTTTAGATATTCAGTGTACTTCACAAGTATTCTTGCATATCGTTTATCAAACTCCTCAATCGGAGCAGATTTTGTCATTTTTCATGCAGTATATCTACGTTCAGTCATAATCACTATTGCTGTTGGTGTCAATAGATCCCATATATGGTTGATCACCGATGCAATTAACATTTTGCTAACTAACCATCTTGATATCTGAATCAAAAACGAATTTAGGCCATCTGAATGCACATCAGTTACAAACTGTAGTAGTCTCTACTGAAACTAAAAACAACGGTTTATTCACACGCTACATTACAGCTTTTAAGAAAGCGGATGCCGAGCTGCTGTAACAAATTCATTAAATTTAACCACATACAAAAGTTTGACTTCCTATCAGAACACCAAGTGTGTATTTTATAGGCCAAATACGGTTGCAAATGTGCTGGCTAAAAAGTGTCCAAGAAGCTAAGACACTGTTTCACACAAGAATGTTAAACTGAGAGAGTACACACTGTTGTACATCCATTGGGTTTAGTTTCTTTAAAATAACCAATTAGCACCTTGCAGTGAATATCAAAAGAACTAAATTATATATTGGTTTCGTTGACTTGCCTACCAATATTACATGATCAAAATGTGTCATCAGTTCAAGTGATCGGTATCTTATATCACATACATCAGATACTGTTGAGATTGCTAGATATGTTTGTTACCAAATATACTACCATATAGGACTTTATCTGCGAATTGGCATGTGTATGTATAATCGTTTGCACATCATCACCGGTAAAATGGTTCATTTATTCAAGACTGATCATCATAGAATTTTTTTCTATACTGAATCATAACAAGTCAATAAAACTATATTAAAGTGTAGCTACTACCATGAAACGTCGAAGGAGGAATAGTGTATCTCGAACAATCAACTCAAGAGTGATGTATATAAAGGGTAATCAAAATTTACTTATTAAAAAAAACTTTAGCATATATATTTGATCACCTGTGGCAAACGTTCATCAACTTTGAATTCACCAACTTTATTTCTGTACACCTTCTACAAAAGTACACTCACTTAGAGGAAAGAGATGATGGCAAAGTCATATAGGCGAAGTATTTTAAAGAAACCAACCAATCAAGAATAGTGTTACTTGAATAACTGTTTTGTGTAGACAAATTCTGATGCTAGATGAATTAAATGCTCCAACTTTTAAAATTCTTCAGTTTTTTCTGTGTCCATATGTCTTTTAAGGAAAATACGTCAATAATTTATCGTCTGACACAATCATATATCATCTGTTCACTCCTAAGGCGTTACTAATCACAGTAGATAGCAACTGTGAATTGCCTGAATCCAGTTACCTCTTGAACACTTAAAAGTGGTTTCATACTCGACAGGTATCACTCAGTTAGTATAAGCATTACTGATCACTGCGTACCTTTTATTTGTTAGTAGAAACAACGGAAGCATGTGATATTTTCTTGAATTAATTAAGTGTATTCATCATACAAATGCATCATTGTGTGTTTACATTAAAAATTAATTAAACAAGTAGACAGTGCAAATAACAAGGAATAGAATTGATTAAAACAGAATTAACTAATTAACGTCACGTATCATTGAACTGTTGAATATATTTTTGACAAATATGTGTTTAAACAAAGAATATTAAACGATAAACGGAAAGCTTTTTAAAAGATGAAGATTTGTTCAATAGAATATGTAAACAGGAGAACAAAACACAGTTGTGAAGAAAGTAAAATATGGAGTAGATTAGTTCTTTTTTATATTTTAAACATTCAGTATTCCTGTGGTTGATTCCACATATTTCATATCACGATCTAACTGACATGCAGAGCATAATGGACAACAGTAATCTGTAAGCCAATCTCTGCAAAGTTTGCCCTAGATAGAAAAATGATAATGATAAAAAATTGAATATAGTATAACATAGAATTTTAAAAAAATTCCTTATTTCATAAGAAAACAGAAGAATTCTGTTGACAAGAGGGTAACAAAAGCTTAGTTCTTGTAACCAAAGTATGCATAACTTTCAAAACTTACTGCATAAAATTATCATATTCCAAAAAGTGCTGGAAACTAGGATTTGTTCACTCGCTCAGTACACTGATGACACGGAGACTAGTTATATCATAGTAAAATATTCATATGATCCAAAAATAAATATATTCGTAGACAAAACTCGTTATAATATTATGAGCGGATTATCCAAAGAGGCGAATAAATGTTTAGAACCGGAGTTCCTTCAGGTAAGCTGTTTCACGCTAAATATGTATTGTTGCATGATTTTATTCTGCATTGAATACATTGACTAGTGACTTTTGATGAAAATGGAAGTTTTCTGTAAGTGCAACAGTAACAAACACTAGATATTAGTATCTCTTACTTTCATCTGATTTATTTGGTGAATGAATAAAAAAGCGTTGGATTCAACGTCATCTTGAAAAGCTAGTGAAATCCAATTAGGTGATTATTATTCTGCATCGTGTCTACAACTTCAACTCCATATACGATTTATTGGTTATTTCTTTTGTAGAATTACAAATAAGTTGAATAACATCTGTGATCTGAAGTTGAAAAACATTTCGTCAAGCTGTTTAGACATATGGAATGCTAAGAACCTAATGAACCTCAATAAATTACCAAAATGGAGTTAAACATTTCACAAAATGTGAATAGTTTCTGACTTGAATATGGGGGTTTGTTGGGATTTATTAATTGATTTTAGGTTGGAATTCATCATCAACCGACATCAGTCAGAAGAACATTGGAAATCTAGGGGAACTGGACAGCTGGTTCGTCCTATTGTGGGACTCCTCAATAGTGTGCACCCATGACCCCCCACCGGGGATCGAAACCAGGAGCTCCGGATTCCACTACCAGCACGCTAACATTGAGCCACTGGGTCCTAATCCAATGGACTAGTTTAAACACTCCTTAGTTACTCAGCAAATTAGAAATTTCTGTTTCATTTCATTTCCGCTGTCAGATTTTCAGGCTGTTCTCTCAGTAACAAAGTAAGTCGTCATTTTGACATCAAAAGCTGTTAACCTTCATTTTGTGCCTCTAAATATAAAGTTTTAATGTGTCAAGATTAACTTCCCATCTTTAAATTGGATAACAACATGGAACATACCTTCTAAAAATCTGACGTCAAATCCTTTCTCATGGACTCAGAAAAACGATTCACATAATAAATCATGCTTTATGTTGGTCACCTAACTAATCATTGGGTTCTTATCTCGTTTCGGAGAGAAATACGATTTCAAAGGTAAGTTTAAGATTTGGGTACTGTAGTAGAATGTAGTTCTATATTAGATGAGTGATGGAGTATTATTTGCTAGATAACATTTTGAACAGAATTTATTGCCCATAACCACATCAGGGTTATGATATGGCTAGGATGAATGAATTCTGTAAGAAACACTACCTAAAAAAACAACTGTCTTTTTTTCATCTTAAACCGTTTACCATGAAGATATCAACATAGTACGGTTCATATTTAAGAAAAGATTACACTGCGAAATCACATTGTCATTCAGAAAATCACTCAAAAATCTACAGTGCTTAACAAATGTCTTGTTCTAGTGTTGAACGTTTTAATAAATCTGACTTCTAAACCATCTAAACCTGTGAAATTCGACTATGAATCTTTCCTTTTGTAATGAATACCCTATCATTAAATATGTGAGCATTATTCAACCTTTTAGTAATATTATAATTCCCAAAGAATCTCTTACAAAACGAATAACCTGGAATTTCTTATTGAAACATTTACTTTATCCATGTGTATGAAAAGGAAACTTAGGCTGCTTCATCATAAGTTATAACTTCAAAAAATTCATTGTTATGAGGAACTTTTATGATTACATACATCAAACAGGAATGATTATGAAAGCCAACAAGTTTAATTTATGTATTTCTCTCAGTGTACGAGACAGTATAGAAGTCACAGTGATCATAGAGATTATGCAGAAGTTTGGGTTTGTTTTCATTGTGTATTGTGGTAAACGTTTTGGTGAATTTAAATGTCTTTTACAGAAAATATTTTCACTATTCGTAAATATCTTCAGGAACTTGTGATTGATCTTATTTGTGTTAATTTCGGAGTACTTTCGGTCAGTAGACTTAAAATATTCAAAATTTGTTAAGATTGAAATATACTTGGCAGCCTTTCTTTTGTATGTTCCTATCATGAGTACACTGGATGTAATAATTAACGATGTTTGATTTACTGGAACAGTTGAAAATGATGATGATCGGAACGGTGGTTTTAAGTTCACCAAAGGCTTTCATTCATACACTTGTTTTAGACTGAAAAATAAGTAGAAGTCACCCACTTACCTAGATGTATACACTCTTGCAGCCATCAGATACTAGCCGCATGTTTTCCCAAGTACTGTGTACTATATATTTTTAGATGTATATAAAGTTGTCATCTTACTCTAATAAATTCTCATATAGATGGTTAGTGCACAAACTATGCCGCTGATTGTAACTTTTAACTGTACAAGTGGTCATCTTGAAACGGTTTAAATTGGACACACTAGATTCATGACTTACTTTCATTCTACCTCCATAGGCAGATATAATGTATTTCAAAACTTCTTGAGGTAATTGTAGCATTTTAATTTTTGCTTTCAGTATGCAGAATGAATGCCATTCTTCTCTTTCCCACTGTTCAAATGGTGGGTTATAGAGACTTATTGATTTCAAGATAGTGTCAGTCACGAACTGAAATCATTTGAAGAAACATTGGAAACCTGGTAGTATTCGACAGTTGCTTCAGCCTGGTATGGGACTCCTCAGAAATGCCCACCCATGACCACATGAAGAATTTATCCTAGGGTGATAGTTTCTTTACATGATACTACTGAAATATTTAACTTTTTTGGTGTATCTGTTGATGAAGTTTATGCAACAGATTAGATAACAAAGGAAAATGAGAATCAGTGTTAAAAAATTTTGTATTTATGAAGAGACCAACAGTTTCTTACTCCATCTTTCACTACACAACGCGAAGAGGACTTCATGCAGTGATATAAAGTAGATTAGATTGAATGGACTTTTATATTTGTCCCACAAGACACAAGAAATCTACATTTTTAGTCCTTATATAGCGTCCTTTAAAGAAAACGAATATCTACTAGAGTGTTGTAACCAGGTTCATACTAAAAACGAATAGTCTGTGATGACTTTAGAGATTACCCACAATCAGTCTGGCTACATGACTCTGACAGTCACCAAAGTTTCTAGAGTTCTAGTTCGCTTCTAGAACTCATTCTTAAGATCTATCTTAATTTAAGGTACCAATTAATCTGGCAGATAGTTGAAGGTGAAATATACTGAAGTATGAGTTCCACTTAAATTGACTTGAACATGCACCGTTCGCATTTTTAGACAAGTAATCAACGAATGTGAAATGCATTACTACCTCTTGAGATGATGGTGAAAATGAATAACCATGAGAATATATATATATATATATATATATATATATATATATATATCTTCTAGTGTTAGTAATAATGAGGCAGTACTACTGCGCCACTGTGCATGGATACTTTTTAAATTTTATCGTTGTTCAGCAGTACATATAATTGGATGACTACGAAGTAGTCAGAATTAATCTTTAACACTCATAGTGAACAGAATAACATTTAAAACTTTGTCAATTACTTTATTAACACATTAAATTTACTAACCTGTATTTGATGCTTAGCTCGATGATATGACCTGAGCGTTAAACCGGGGAAGACAATTAGGCAGGGAGTTGCAAAACACTCGTCATACCGACGATACATGTAGCACATGTAACATGGATAACAAAACGCGATAAGCCAACCTATAGAAAGGTAGAATTTATTATTGAGTAATGAATCTGAATAATCAATATTATGCAGTTTAATTTATTTCCCAAATAAAATAGTAATAACAAGGTCATTGTGAACTGCATTGGAATCACCTTTATCTATGGGTAATTAAGAATACTAATATAACCAGATGCCTCTCTGGTATTACAAAAATTTCTAGTTCGACTGACTTCATAACTCAATCTGTCTTTCACCCTTAGATGTATCCTCTATTGAATTTTTTTTTCACTAATAATATTCAAAGATATCAAGTAAAATTCAATGCTAGAAACTGAGGTGAAAATTCGACAGAATTTTACTAACCTTGAGTTTCATTCGACTGATTTTGTTTACATTCAGAAGAAATCGAAATCTGACTAGTCAGGTAGGCGGGAACAATCAGCTAGCATCTGATAACGAAAATTCTTTCCTAAGTCACAAGCAAACATTTTGGCTTGTATAGTATTCTGTTATAGCTGCTACAAACTGGCAGGCAAGTCATGAGATGAGGTTGAAGTATCAACAATGCAACTTCACTCAGTGGAACTGAGGCTGAAGCATTCAGTTTACGTTCAATATATGAAAGTTTTGACCTCAAGAGAGTTCTTGCATACACAAATACGTCAGAACAGTGTTGTGGCTGAATGTAACAGATTACCGTTCTTAAAGCTTGATTTATTTTTACATTTGAAATGAAGAAATTTTTACTTTGCAGTAAGTATAAAATTTCAGGTTGGTATTCATCAAGGACTGACATCAGTTGGAGAACCAGTGGAGGCTGGATAGGTATTTTATCGTGAAAGGGGACTACCCAGAATGGCGCACCCATGACCTCACCCTCCAGGGATCGAAATCAAGATTTTCAGGTTCCACGGCCAGTTCGTTACCGTTGAGTTACTGAGTTGGAATCAAGTGGTCCACATTCCCTACTTCTGCCAGTTCATGATGCTGCATGACCTCCATCATCATCGTAGAGTAACCGTCATCGGGTCAGACTAGTTTTACCCCCATCCTTCTAGGTTTCCAATGGTCCTGCAACTGATGTTGGTCCTGGATGAATGCCAACCTGAAATCAATCAATAAATCCCCATAAACCTTCATGCTGAAGTAACCATCCAATTAAAAAAGGGCACATTTTGGAAAAATGAGTAGGATATAACAAACAATGAGTGGAAATGTGCATAATGCCAATGTCAGAATAGGTTGTCTACATTTGTAACTTATTTTTGCTGACATGAAAGTTAGAAAATGACACTTACATGAAGTACAGTCGTTTGTACAGTCAAATAATCCATCATGCCAATCTCTTTGTCTAACCGCAAATGGTTGTTTTGTTGTTGGACTGTCCATCTGGGAATTGTTTTATGCAAGAAATCTCACTGTTGAAGATACGGATCGAAAATAAAACTTAGATTAGGTTCGGAAAAAATATCTCGGTATGAATTGTACAATAAATAATGTGTGTACTCATGAGTCTGTTTAAAATTAGTAATTTATATTTGATTGATAGAATTTAAACCAATGAACGGTTATTAGGATAGTCTATTTTTGTACAAACATGTGAATGTGTGACGAAATTAAGCTACACAACACTACACACTGTGCATGTTTTCGGATACATAAGAGCACTACCTGTCAGTTTGGTACAAACGGATCTGCATAGATGATCAAATTTAGTTTATGAATTGTCCATTGGGTAATAACGAATGTCCTGCTCTAGTTCAGTCTAATATATTCTGTTTTGCTGTGCTTTAGGGGCGGAATAATAGTTGGTACGTAGTGTTCTACATTCTCAGAGTGAATACAATAGGCTGTAACCAATGTTTTCGTGTACATAACTTGACAAGCCTTTCGTTCAAACTTCTTCAGAAAACTGTAGTCGAAAAGGGTAATGTAAGTTCCGTTGAATGCATTACACAGCATGATAACGCCTTGAGTACTTAGTTATTTTAATAGGTGACAAGGGCAGCATAAACTATGCAATCATTTTCAGCTTGTAATGATGGATAGCGGCTATTAGTGGAATCCATGATACGCATATCGTCCTATTATGGACGCGTCAGCTGGATGTATCTGCTTCCTATTGAGTTACGTTGTTCCCACTGGGATATGAACTCGAGAGCGATCGCTTCAAATGTCAGAGCGTTATCTACTACACCACTGAGCCACGATAGCCACTTCTTGTGCGACGGGTATAGTTTTAGTATAATTGCTTGTATGCCGATCAATTCAATCCAATCAACGACGGTATAATACAAGCAATTATATATTTACAGCTTGCTTTGCAAAACGCTGATGGATAATACTGACAACAGTGAAGTAGGGAGAATGTTCTACTAACTTATAATCTGATGACTGAGGACATAATGTATTTATCAGTGATCAGCTGTAGTTGACATACATTCAAGTTATACTCAACCAGGTTGTGCAATGGTGACATTGAGTTTCGCATCACATCTGGTCTTCATAGCAGAACCTGGTCCCAATAGGATACGAGTAACTTAATAGTGAACGGTAGCTATAAAATAATTCTTGAAAGAAGACGTCTTGTTGCCCATGGTATTCCAAATTAATTTGTTGTAATTTTTATTTATTACTGGTGATTCATCGAAATGGAACACTTGCTTGAGTGATCAAAAGAATGTATTGGGAATAGACTTCATGGTTTGACATCGTAAAACAGCATTTTTCGATTGCAGACTGCTAATCACCGGTTTCGCATCCAGTTTTAGTTTTTATTTGTCTGTTATAAAACCTAAACTTTCTACGTTGATCTACCACTAGAGTATGTGCTAAGTATTAGTGTCGAATTTCCGACCTCATACAGATTTTCCAAAACCTTTTAGTGGATGGTGAAAGTACTGTGAAAATAATCACATATGTAAAACTGTAACGAAGCTTTGTAAGTAACTGTTTACTCCAGCAGTTTGTTGCATCACTCAATTTCTTTCTTTCTCCAAACTTTCGACGATGGGAATCCACCTGTGCCATTGTGACCAATTTTCAATCATCTCATGATTGCTGCCGCCTCGAGGACACCCAACAATGTACACCTCCCTACATCACCTAAGCCCACAGTCATAGACTTAATGCACCAGTACCGTGTCTTGTTTTGGCCACTCTGAGCCTTCTTCCAACTCACTACTACTTCGGTTAATACTGCATGTTGAGGTAGTCAGTGGCTCGGTATGCGCAACACAGGCCCAACGCAACTCAGTCACTGGAGATTCACAAATTCATCGACTAAGTTCCCTGTTTTACCTAGTAATTTTCATCTAATGTAGAGGTTGATCATACGGTGGTTCCAAAATAAGTAAGCAATGCTGTGAAGATATGAGTGCTTGAAAACCTGCAGTGTCTTCCTATATTTTAATTCCGGCGGCCACGTATCAAAAGCATTTGACTGGACTGAGAGGACTGCAACAGTAAACTCGTCTTTTAACAGGTATTCGATCGTCTCACAGACACTAGAGATGACAAAAGTTGGCGAACACTGAACTGACCTTGAGTTAGAGCCGAGACTTTTTCGGCAATCAGTCCGTCCATGCTCGTTCACTCCATCATCTCTTATATTTCGGCTTGATAACATGCCCACAAAATGTTTCATTTTATATCAACAACTTTATACGTCATCGCTAATTTAGTGATGCAGAATTGTTCCCCTACAATCTGGGTTCACTGATTTCAAAACTTAATATGGGACAGAACTAAAATTGGTTTCCAGCGAAGAAAACATCAGTAAGTAACAAGATGAGTACTAGTGTAATCGTTTGTTAAATAATGCGACTGGCACTAACTTTTAACAATATAGTAAGGGACTTTATAATGGCAAACATGGTTGCTTAATATTACCCATTATCTACATAAAAAGCTGTGTTAAAATGTTTGCTGAACAATTAATCTGCAGTAGCCAATAATGCTGAAATTTGTATTGGTGAAGAACTAAAAATATTCCTACATTTTAGTGACTCACAGTGTTTTATAAGTCTGATAATGTTGACTTTACGAACTAAATGCGGCTAAAAAGGATTCACTGAAATAAGTAGTTTTAAACAAAGTTTAAGGTGGTGATAGGCCAAAGGGTAACAGTATACCTTCATATAGTTTTAAGTGTCTGTCAAATTCATCTCTCAGTAATGTTATTTGGCAGTACCATGCCAAGAATAATGTATTCTATAGACAGGATAAAGTTTCAAGATTTCTGACTTTATGTGTTTTAAAACTGTGTTCTCACTTCATATTTCTGTCATTTGAATACTTTACTGTTTAGAAAACTATAGGATGAAGAACAGTGATACGATTTGTGCTATGGTTGTTAACTGACCAGTGTGGACAATAGGTTGCTAAAAACTGTTTACCTGACGTACTATTTGAAAGTTTTTTCAGCTAATCAAATATCAGTGGTCTTCTTTGATAAAGTACTAACGATACTAGCCCCACTGGGGTCTAAAAATGTTTGCAAACTCTCAAAAATCATTAGCACTATATTAGCAACTAATTACTGGTGCACATTGAAGTTTTCAAAACATGAAATTTAGTAATTTCACTGGCAATAAACCATAAATATTTTTGCAAAACGTAACTGAGAAATAGTACTTGTAAGATGTCAAAAAGACTTTTAGTATTTTCTGCGCTTTCGATATTTATCACACTGGTTGACTTAGAAAATGATATTCAGAGTGGTACAAAGAAGATAGTTGAGTGGAGTTAGGCTAAAAATCGTTGAAATCACTTGACTCAAGATAACTCTCTTTTACTGGATAAATACCAACAATAAGCCAGCGGAATCTTCGATGGTTGAAGTAAAGATCTAGCCAACCGGTCGGTCTTCTGGCTCGGTTGTTACAACACTGGGCTGGTAAACTGAATACGGCTGGCTCGAATCCTGTCCCTCTCCACGTTTTCATTTCACGTTCAATCCCAACTGAATATTACTAACATCAGTCTTCAAGTTTTAATCTCACTGAAAATATCAGCAGATGACTTCCCAATGCCTGTAGACAGCTGGATTAGTTTTCTGAACAAGCATAGTTCACGGACCACAGTCAACTTTCGTTAAACGAAGATGTTTCCCCACACTATGAGAACAAATCATCAACAATAAAAAACCTACAACAAAGCTATAAAAGTTGACATTTTTAGTGGTTTTGTGTTCTCTGAGCTTGATTGTTTAATCATGGGGCTCTCATTGTCTTTCTAGACGACATTATCAGCACTAACTTCTGTATGAAGTGAGCTGTCGATATCCTCCGTTAGTGATTTAGTAGCTTGCCCTGATGAAACAGTCTGCAATTGGTTGTTTCTTTTGATTACTGTGTCATCGACTGTATAGATTACCCTGTTGGTTGTTCCTCTGCTAGACCTCTGACCTTTCTGTCTTTTATTATTTTTCTTACTGGTTGATAGATTGGGTTTATGTCTATACATCTACTGATTGCTGACTTACTTGAATGCCCAGCTTCTAGGAATTCTCTGATATTCTTTGTGTTTCCTCTGTCCGAAACTTCCACATTATCGAAATTTAATTCATTTCCATAATCATCCACGTGCATGGAAATCAGTAATGAAATGTTGTGACGTTTACTAGCCACATGGTGTTCATGTAGACGAAGGCGAAGAGGGTGACTATTCCGTTCAATGTAGTGTTGACTACAGTTATTGAAGTTGACTTTGTAGATGATATTCAGTTTGTCTTTGACTGTTGTATTCTTTGGTCTAGATAACAGTGTTTAGAGAGAATTTTTGGTTTTTGTGCCACACTAATTCCGAATGCTCTCAATAATCTTGTCTTGAGTTCTGATATATTCTTTATGTATGATAGGATGATGAGTTTGTTGATTTCTGTGGATGACTTTGTAGTTGATAATGAACAGGATATACATCTTAGGTCAAGCAGAGGAACAGTCAACAGGGTAATCTATACAGTCTATGATACAGCAATCAAAAGAAATAACTAATTGCAGACTACTTAGTCAGGGCAAGCCACTAAATCACTAACGGAGGGATGTCGACATCTCACTTCATACAGAAGTTAGTGCTGATGATGTCGTTTAGAAAGATGATGCAAGCTCCACAATTAAACAACCAAGCTCAGCGAATACCTTACAACCAAGAAAACGCCGTTAAGGAATGATAATTTTAAGTACCAGTGACTGTGATTGGATTTTTTAACAGATAAAGACATGTAGCGTTATTGCTTGTATGCGAATCCTGGATTCCACTGCTAGCCACTGCCCATCATTACTAAGGATAAAGACATGGCTCAAACAGACAGCTTTGTCATTTAGTTGCACCGTAGGTCGGTTGGATTCAATAGACAGATTCAGAAGCGAAGCGCACATAAAAAGCCCCAGTAAGTCTCTAGATCCGTAACTGTTGTACTGATCAGATAATATATTTCAGGCTTTTTTATATAGATATAGTATAATTGTTTTTAAATCATACCGTCGTTGCTTGGACCGAATTGA